GCTATTTTCAATATTCTGGAGGTTAAGGAAAAAGGAAATTTATCTACAAATCTTAAGAGCTTTAAGAAACTTCATAATGTTGGGGCGCCTGGGTGGCGCAGTCGGTTAAGCGTCCGACTTCAGCCAGGTCACGATCTCGCGGTCCGTGAGTTCGAGCCCCGCGTCGGGCTCTGGGCTGATGGCTCGGAGCCTGGAGCCTGTTTCCGATTCTGTGTCTCCCTCTCTCTCTGCCCCTCCCCCGTTCATGCTCTGTCTCTCTCTGTCCCAAAAATAAATAAAAAACGTTGAAAAAAAAATTAAAAAAAAAAAAAAAAAAAAGAAACTTCATAATGTTTTGCTCTTGGCCAGACTGTATCAATTGAATGTGGCAACACTGGTTATTGCGTGGATGCAGAATTCCAGTTGGCTGTTAGTGATGCATTACCTTTGATTTTTGTAACAATTTAGAAACCAGTTATTGTTACTAACTCCCAATTTGTTTGGAGGCAGAAGGATTTCAAAAAATGAAGTTCATGCAGAAAGCTTTTAAAAGGATATTTGATCACAAACTGAATTAATTTCATTCTACGTGTTAATTTCATGGACTCTTTTTCTCCCCAGTATCTTTTACATCTCTGAGATAAGGATGCATGATACTAGGATAATGTGTTATATTTCATTGCAATTCTAAAAAATCTTCTCTAGAGACTCATAAAATAAAGATGCAGTTTACAATCCATAATGTTTTAATGGACAGAGAAATATGATAATTTGATTCAGAGTGGCTTAGAGAATTCATATGGTTCAGGGTGTGAAGACTGAACCAAGATCCTCTGTTACCTAGGACAGCTCCTAATTTCTCTGAGACTCAGTATTCTCACTTGTAAAGTGGGGATAATAATAATACCTACGTCATAGATTGCTTGTGAAAAATGGAATGAGATAATACTTGCAGCATGTTAACCTTTTCTCTTATTGCATCTGTCCCAAATCATCAATGCTGGAAAGAGTTAATGCTTCTCCCAAATTGCCAAAATTACCAATAATAAAAAAAAAATACTGGAAATCTTGGAGGAGCTGACATTATTTTATTTTATTATGCAAATAGTTTTGACCTCCAGAGATTATTTATTTTGCTTCAGATGCCTCATCTTCTGTGCTGCTAACCAAACAGTTTATTCCATTTTGTGCAACAATTCATAATGAACCTTAAGAGAATTACTGATTATTTTAGAGTTTTTGGCTCAATTACCTGTTTCAAATGCTCAATGACTAAGGAAAGCATGTCATTTTCTCCTCTCCTGCACACTGGAGCATAACAATAGACTTTGAATAGAGCAAATCAAAGAGACACAAATACCAGTATAAGGGGCCCATTGTGCTGAGTTTGTAGCCCTGTCACATGCTTTTAATTTAGGTCGGTTGATTGATTATGACATACTGACAGATAGCACATTGTTCCTCTCTTGGAACCTCTAGACTCTTTAATATTCCTTCCCTTATCTGTCCATTTTGATTCCAAAACTTAAGTGAAATGGAATTACAGCATTCACTTTGTTTTCCTGTACTAAGTGATTATCTCTGAAGTGCAATTTTGTGATTAGGTGAGATGGCATGCATACACTCAGCTAATGCTGATTTCCCCCAGGGTGCAGAACAGGTAAATTCATAATGAATGGATGTTGTGCTTTGATTTCAAATGGATGGAAAACCTCCCCACACTTGGTAGTTTTATTTTAAAAATGTATTTAATTATTCTAAAATTAACAGGAGAATATTAAAATTGAACTTTAGAAAATGGCATTTAAACATAAGTCAAGGGTGCTAACTGCTTATGAATGTTAATACCCTTCAAAAAGTGAAAAAACAAACTTAACCTGACATAAATTAGGGGGGTGGGGTGTGAGTGGAGAAGGAGTGTGGTCATTGAAAAACTTCAGTTTAATTATTTATATTTTTTCTGATTAATTCAAAAATATCTAAGTGCACCTTAGTATTAGTATTCTCAAATACTAATGTTTCTTATTTTGAAAACTACAGTAATTATTAACTAATTGGTATTATAGTATTGTCATAGATGTTTGGTCCTGAGGGGTGACTTCTGGTGTGTGTGGGAGTGGGGGAGGAGCAAGGAGTTAATGATTGGCACACAGTATTTTTTTTTTGATATTTAGAAAAATATTTTTTTGTCCAATAGTAAGAGAACTCAGTTTTAAAGAGAATTTTGCATTCCCAAATTAGACATGTTTTGACCAGACCACAAAAGTAGATGATTAGTACCCAAATCGTACTCCTTTACTGATAAGCATTGACCATAATATTGTGAATCTTAAAGTGAGAAACCTAACATGCAATTTCTCAAACTTATTTCAGTTGAAATCCTTTTTATAAAGAATTGTAAGTTCTAGTCGGAACTTCATGTAGGCCGTGTTGGTACATGGTCGTTTGTGGTTCTTTGATCACCTTCTTCTTCCCACACTTAATCTCTTAGCATAGTATCCAGTATATACCAAGAGCACAGTAAATCTTAATTATTGTTGTTATTTTAATTATCTTTCCAACTGAATAAAAGTAATAATTTTAATAAGTTGATGACAGGTGATTTTCAACAGTAAAGCACGTTAATTTGGAATAAAGTGTTTTTATTCAAGCCTCAAAGAAAAACCAACCCAGTAAAATTTTTCTCTTATTAAAATCCAATTGTATGTCATGTGAACCATCAGCAATATTCTTTCTAGTGAAAGTGATTCACTTTCCTGTATGTTGTATTGTCACTTGCCCTGACAGATGCGATACCCTCAAAGTTGTCCTCCTAATTTTGGACAACTACGTAGCAGAGGTGAATGGCCTACATTTTTAGTATGCACTCTCTCACACCTTGCATACTTGAGTTAGCAAGGTAAAAGCACTTCTAAGTACACTCAGTGAGTGATTTGTTAGCCGATAGCCTGCTCTCCAAGGCCACAATAGGAAAACTGCAACTATTTATTTCCCACATCATGGGGCTATTGGATATAACTCTTTGGGCAGAGGTAAGGAAGATAAGATGTATCACTGGTGTGGTGAAAAGGACATGAATTGGGAACCAGAACGCCTACAGATTGTAGTTTTAGTTCTATTTAGTATCTTAGGTCACGTTTTGTAGTTTCTCTGAACCTTAGAAGTTATTTTATACTTATTGTGGGTTTGTTTGTTTTTACTCTTCTTTCTTGCTAGTTTGGTAGACTCTGTAAAGATGTGTTACTCATCATTAGACCTTTATGCCCAATTGTACCATTGACAATATTGAAGGTGCTTAACAAATGTGTGTAGAAAAAGTAAGGCAAGAAGACAACCAGAAGGAAGAGAAAGAATAGAACAATATATTTAAGGCCTAAGTTTCCCCCCAAATTCTCTTTGAATAAAACCTTGTCAAATCAAGTACACATGGTCCTAACATTAATGGAAGTGTAAACTTTTTTTTTTTTTAATTTTTTTTTCAACGTTTTTTATTTATTTTTGGGACAGAGAGAGACAGAGCATGAACGGGGGAGGGGCAGAGAGAGAGGGAGACACAGAATCGGAAACAGGCTCCAGGCTCTGAGCCATCAGCCCAGAGCCTGACGCGGGGCTCGAACTCACGGACCGCGAGATCGTGACCTGGCTGAAGTCGGACGCTTAACCGACTGCGCCACCCAGGCGCCCCGGAAGTGTAAACTTTTAGGGCTTGGAGAAGTTACCATCAGTCAGACCTTCTCTTTTTATGTATGAGAAACAGCCTCATGATGATTAGGTGAAGTATCATTTGAGTAATGTCTAAGCTGGATCCAGTTCTTCTCCCTCCCAGGACACCACTCTGGACTGTACTGGGTAGGCTCATCGTTAGGCTATGTATGCAAATAAGGCTCAAAAGGTATACCCCCTACCCATTAGAATATGGGGAAAGTGAATGGTCTTTTACTTTCAATTCTCTGTATCATTCTATTTCTTGATATGAACAACAACAAAAAGCATGAACTACTTTTGTAACACAATAAGAAATATTATTTGGAAAAAATAATTAAAAATTAATCAATTTCAATACTCTGCAGGAGTGTTATATAGACTCAGTAACAATATGCGAAAACAAAACATACCCTGCATCATGAATATGATTTGGTAACGTGTATTTCTTAAAGAGTGGACTGGAATTCACCAGTGTATGTATTAAATCTCTCTGACATATTGGTGAAGAGGTCACTCAGTTATAAATGCTTGGTTATCTTGCCTTAAGAGGTCAAACAACTCTATCTCCCCAAGAAGAGGCTGCTCAGATTTCTTACCTGTCTCCCAGAGGGACACTCCCCCTTCTGATATACCTTTTCATGGTCATAGTCAAGTATACCATCTTCTGATCTGTCTAAATTCAATCCATCAAGTTTTCTTTTTTTCTATTAATATTTCTTACTGCCTTTTTGGAGAAGAAAAAGCAAAATATTTTTAAGTGAGAGCAGGTGTTTGTAAATCTTATTGAACTGTCCTTTCATTCATGCTTTCTTCCACGTTTTGCCTATCCTCAAAGTGTCCTGAAACTTTGACTAGCGGGAAGAAGAGCGAGGGGGTTGCCACCAGCTGTAAAGCTGTGGGTGAGAAGAATGGAGTCTCACCACTAAAGCCAAGCAATGTTGCATCTTATCTTTCCTGATTTTGCCCAGAGAGTTCAATCCATATTTACATATTTAATTATCCTGAGGGCTTCTGGGTGGCTCAGTCCCTTAAACATCAGACTCTTGGTTTTGACTCAGGTCATGATCTCTCAGTTCCTGAGTTCCAGCCCTGCGTGGGGCTCTGTGCTGACAGCTCAGAGCTGGGAGCCTGGAGCCTGCCTCAGATTCTGTCTCCCTCTCTCTCTTTATGCTCCTCCCCCACTTGCACTCTGTCTCTCTCTGTCTCTGTCTCTCTCAAAACTAAATAAACATTAAAAAAATAATTATCCTGTATGCTAATTATCTATAGATCAGAGTATCTATTTGACTTATTTTCCAATGTTACTATTTTTACAGCTTCTGCCACCTTTGAAGACTTTCAAATTCGTCCCCACGCTCTTTTTGTTCACTCGTATAGAGCTCCGGCTTTCTGTGATCACTGTGGAGAAATGCTGTGGGGTTTGGTGCGTCAAGGCCTTAAATGCGAAGGTAAGGTCTTTCCTTCCCAACCAAGTCGATCCCATGCTGGAACACATAAGTTACCTGCTTATGTTGTGCCCTCTACAATAATGTCTTCTTAATTTTATGTCTTCCAGCAATTTTGGGGATGCATGGATTCTGCTCTGTTCATTTCTTTACATTTCCTGTTTTCAGCTTATTTGCTCTGATCTGGGAAACCTGATTCTCATATCATTTTCCCTGTACTACGTGGATGTGTTTCTTTTGTGTTGGTTATTTTGGCAACAAACTGAAAATAATAATTGCTTCTTAAGTCGGAATTTTTTCAATATTTTTTAAAAATTCTTTTTAATATTTTATTTTTTTTGAGAGACAGAGAGAGAGAGCAAGAATGGGGAAGGGGCAGAGAGAGAGGGAGACACAGAATCCAAAGCAGACTCTAGGCTCTGAGCTGTCAGCACAGAGCCCAATATGGGGATCGAACTCAGAAACCATGAGATCATGACCTGAGCCAAAGTCGGATGTGTAACCGACTGAGACGCCCAGGCACCCCATTTGGAATTTTGATTCGTAGGCATTCGCTAAATGTTTGTTGAAATTAGCAGAAATTTAGGAGGTTAATCAAACCATGCAAGGTCAATCAGCTGTAGAGTGGTGGCCTGGAACTTGTGCCCATGTTTCTAACAATAGCATAGTTTGCCATAAAATGAACTTTACCATGAAAAGAACTCTTTAAACTCAAGTGGCTAGAACACCATTATAAATCTTAAAAATACTCCAATCATACAGTGTTCTCTCTGAATTGTAGGAGGTAGAGCTGTTTGAACTTTGGCCAATATAACCAAGCATTTATGATGCAACCTAGAAATAAGCTAACCACAGTTTTTGAATTTCTGTCTGTGAGAAGACAAGTTAGGTGACAGTGACTTAGAAGAAACTGCCTGAAGTGTGGCTTTATGGAAATTTTCTGGCCTCCTGTGTGACACACAGGGAACTATACATAGTGGAAATATCAAACAAAAAATGGTGCTTTCCTAATTATCTAAAATGTGGAAACCAGCATGTAAAGAAATGTAACATGTTTTCTTAACAATTCTACAAGGTAGTTATTATCCGTATTTTATCGATAGCCAAACTGAGGTGTGCAAGGTCATGTAAACAAAAAAATTATAGAGCCAGGATTCACATCAAATTCAAAAGTTGTGATGCACTGTGATTAACTTTCCCTTATGTGTCCACTCACATTAACTTGTGGCAGCTAAAAAAGCCTCAGGCGATCTCTTTGGTTTTTTTTTTTTGTTTGTTTGTTTGTTTTTTGTTTTTTCTTTTTTTGTTTGGTTGGTTTTGGGTTTTTTTGTTTCTGTTTTTGTTTTTGTTTTTGCTAGATCCCTTAAAGTCCAAGTCCATTATATCCAAGAACATTTAAACAAAAATGATAACCAGAGTAGTTGCTGAGCTCGTCCAAAAGAATCAGAATTCAAAACCCACCTTATTTACAATTTCTGAAAAGAAAACAGAAAAAGCTCAAAAGAAAATTTGAATTTATAAATAGCCTCAAGAAAAACGAAAACAATACTATTTTTAAAAATGCATAACTTGGTACTAGAAGAGCTTTTAATTTACGGTTGAACAAAAATCATTTTTACTTTCTCTTTCCAGGATGCGGACTGAATTACCATAAGAGATGTGCATTTAAAATCCCCAACAATTGCAGTGGCGTGAGAAGGAGAAGGCTCTCGAATGTTTCTCTCACTGGGCTCAGCACCATCCGCACAGCATCTGCTGAGCTCTCCACCAGTGCCCCTGACGAGCCCCTCCTGGTACAGCTTCCTGTTTTTCCATTTATCCGTTTGCATGAGAGATCTGTGGGACAATGTGATGACAGTGTCAATCCAAGACAGCACCCCGGGAGGGGAGGACACAGCCAGGGTGTTATTGACTGTGTTTCTTCAGGGTTTGTACTGTAGACTGGTCAGTGCTTCATCAAATATCCAACGACTTTGAGTTTGCTTTCATCTATGAGCTCAGTGCAGTTAGAAAATATGTAAGGTTTCATCGTGGTCATAGGGCCAGACCAGCACAAACTAACATGTGAATGTTGCAAAACACACTTTGTCAAAATTGGGAAACCAAAGATGAAAGATATTCTTCTCTGAAGATTAGTAGAGTGCTTTGTGACATAGCTGCATATTTATTCTGGGAGAAAAGTTTAAATTTGTTCTTATGAAAATAATGAAAGTCTTTAATTTGTTGGCAATACTGGCATACATTCCAGGGTATTGTCAGGGTGACACAGACTGACAAATGCTATGAGAACAATAGCACTCAAATGCTTTAAGTATTTACATTAGCTCTAAACACTTTTGTGGATAGGACTTAAATATTTTTTAAAAAATTTAAATTCGAGTTTTCCAAACATTCACAACCAAGTAAAAATTGTGGTAATTATGTGAATTATTTAAAATAGGAAAATAGGCGAACAATGTGAGGCCTTAAATTTCCTGTATTTACTCCCTCCCCTAAAGACTTTAGTAATCTAGCTATTGTAAAAATCAATTGAAAAAAATTAAAAATTATTAAAACAGTTTAAGGTTAAATTCATCCCTCTTGATGTGGAGAAGGGCAATAAATTTTGAAGACATCTCTCAAAAGTTGTATTAGTCCCTTGTTTGGAAAATATTTTGTTGTGATCCTTATCACTTCAATTTTGTTATAGCATGAACAAGACATATAATTCAAATGCATGCTCATTTTGGTAAATAGGAAAATGTCATACTATTTTCCCATGACTGACTTAAAATTGAGAGTTTGTTGTGTTTTCAGTCTTTCATGAAGTGAGTCTGTTGGAGGAAGGCAAGTACTTAATCCTGCTGTTAACTAGAAGAATATATTATGTTTGGTAACTATTCAGAATGTATGTGTATCATTTTATATTATTCCATAATGTTGCATTAATTGGAACTAGTGATATTTTCATTGAAAGATGCTTAAATTAGGGCACCTGGTTTGGCTCAGTCGGTTTAGTGTCTGACTTTGGCTGAGCTCACGATTTCACACTTTGTGGGTTCAAGCCCCATGTCGGGCTCTCTGCTGTCAGTTCAGAGCCTGCTTCAGATCCTCTGTCCCCCTCTCTCTTTGCCCCTTCCTTACTCACACTTTCTCTCTCGCTCTCAAAAATAAAGACATTAAAAAAAAAAAGGTGCTTAAATCAAAAGCTATTTACTTTTTCAAATAACTCTCATGTCAGCTTCCCAATTCTAAAATTCCTTGATTTAGTTTGAATTTTTTTAAGTAGTGACTTTTCAAGTGCTAGCAGTTACTCTTGCTTTTAAGATAGTCACTGTGGGGCGCCTGGGTGGCGCAGTCAGTTAAGCGTCGGACTTCAGCCAGGTCACGATCTCGCGGTCCGTGAGTTCGAGCCCCGCGTCAGGCTCTGGGCTGATGGCTCAGAGCCTGGAGCCTGTTTCCGAGTCTGTGTCTCCCTCTCTCTCTGCCCCTCCCCCGTTCATGCTCTGTCTCTCTCTGTCCCAAAAATAAATAAACGTTGAAAAAAAAAAAAATTAAAAAAAAAAAAAAAAGATAGTCACTGAGACTCATACTATTTATAGAACACTTACAAGTAAGTTTAAGAAACAGAATTGTAAATTAATTATATATTGTTTTCATATTCTTTAAAAATTATTTAACATCCACAACGAATCTAAAGCTTTAAAGCCTTTCATTATTACAATAAATTAGATGATTAATGCTAAAGATTCTTCTTTTAGATCTTTCTCAACTTTTTATAATATGTACATATACACACAAATACATGTATATACATATATACACAGACATGCATATATATACTTCAAAACATCACATATAATTTACATGTTATAAGTATAAATTAAATTACATATTTAAATTATTTACATGCATATATTTATAAATATATACCATTTATATATAAATATAATTTAGGTTACCTATCTATAGACTATAATACAAGTTTTTAAATCAAATTATTTAATTGCTTTATTTAGCCAAATTAAATTATTTCATCATTTGAATTACTTGATCACAAGTTATGTTTTACATGAAATGTTGAAACTTACTACTGCTTTATTGCTGAATGGAAATTTTTATAGTAGAATGCTTAAAATGTTTTTTTTTTAATATATATTTTTAAAAATCAGATTTCAACGATGTCTGTCAAGAATGCTGGTATAATTGTGATCAAATCAGATATTTGTGAGGTGAGAAAACATTGGGGCCATAAAATACTTTGAAAAATGTTGTTATCCTAAACTTTCATAAACTTGTGTAAAATGCCCAACGGGTAGCCATTAAATAAGAAATGCCCGTGGAAATAATGTTTGTGATACTATTTGACATGCTGGCTCTGAAAGCCATGTTTTACATGTGTCAAAGCTTTTTGTGCCTTCATAGGATACCTCTTTATCTTTTGTTTTATCCAATACCTGAGAAGGAAGAAACACTGGCCTGCTTTGAGGAGGGCACGTATTTTCCAGTTGCCTTGGGTCATGGTCATGCCTTGGCTACTTACTTTATGTAGGAACAAAGCCCTGTATACACCCCGCTGTACCCAGGCATGTTGGAGTACAGTGAATATGTCCCTCTTTATCCCTGGGCAAGGCAGAAAAGGTCAGTAATTACCATTTAAAATTTAGAGTGAATGCCTAATCAAAAGAAATGTTATGTCAATACTAGTAAAACCTTTTAGTTCTGTATACCATAAGGGATATTTTTCCATTTCCAAAAAAGATGATGACCAAGATAAAGATGACGTTGCTTATTAATCTCATGTTATCACCCATATTGCAAGTCTGCCATGACAAGTGTATAGATTTTCTCTCAAATGTAAGAAAATGTTTCTCCTATCCATACTTCATGACTTATTTTGACTATAAAATCACCATTTCACATACAGATTAAGACACTGATAATTCTATTAATTTATTCATTTTTGGCACCTAAATTGAATCTCAGATTTCCATAATGCCACTAAGATAGAAAATGAGCATAACAACATAAATCATATGATAGGCTTTATCTATCATCAATTTTGGCAGTAAACGGTATTCATTATACCAACCATAAAGCAGTCCATCTTTTAAGAAGACCCAAAATGAAGTCAATTTATGGTATAACAGCTCAGCAGGGGTGTATACCTCTCTGCACACCATCACCAGCATTAGAAGGAAATGAGAAAAACTCAGTAGGTCCTTGAGTAGTATACATTAATATGTTGTATTATATATATTATGTATTATATATATTATATATATATTATGTATGATATGTATTATATATATTATATATTATGTGTATATATGTATATATATGTATCATA